GTTTATTCACTGATAATTATTGTTATGACTATACAAACGTAGAATAGTAAGTAATACATTATGTATAAATAAATGATTACAGTTTACACTCTAAACGACAATTACAACTTATAAATATATAATTTCCTTATAATTATTTTTATAAACAAATTTTGTTATTCGGGATATCTAAATGGGATTGGGGTACAGTCTTAGTCTATGTAACCCTCACCCCTCTCCCCTTAATTATAATTTTAAACATAACACCCTTGGTTATTATATTACATACATGTACCAATGCCAGATATACTGTACGTAATTCAGGGTATGACCACAGGGAACTGACTCTCTTATGGAATGGGCGCAGTTAAACAATGTTAATCAAGGATGTAATGTTAGGGAACCGGAAGGGGCACATTTTGTAACATTTAATAAACGGGGGACGGCATCTGGAACATTTGAAGCGCCTATATTCTTTTGTTCGCTCATTGACAAGTTTGTGTACACCCGTGTAATAAACTGTAATATTTTGAAGTTTATCTTTTAGGATCCGCCCCTTTTAGAACTATTATTAATTTAAGACTCTAGATCCGCCATCTTTAATAACATGTATTAATATTACAGATATTATAGAATATCTTTTGTTAACTCTTTCTATATAATATGACTCTACTGACTAGCACAGTGTTAATGATATTCAGACAACTTAATCTGATACAAGGATTGGCGCGATAAACTCCGGAGATTTCCGATTCTCACGAAGCGTCTTGAATCAGATATTCCCACAGATGATACGCGATTATCTATAACCCTGTGTTGTTTTATGCTCATTGTGTTACTTCGAATGTGTTTGAACTAAACGAAACGTTTTGAAATATTTTGAAATTACTTAAAGCATTAGTCTCAGAAATGAGTTAATCTGACAAATTAATTTCGTTTGATTTTTCGTAATCCCGCGTTCTGTTGTCAGTGGATATAATAATAATTGTTGATCGATATAGTGACGTTTACAGTGAAGAATTATTTTGTACTCACGATGTTACCTCGAATAAGTTTGAACAAAAGGAGACTTGCGTTCATGGTGTTACCTCGAATGTGTTTGAACTAATCGAATATTTTGGAGATACTCTGAAATTACTTGAGCCATTAGTTTCAGAGATAGGTTAATCTGACAAATTAATTTTGTGATAATACTTTCGTTTGGATTGATTTGCCATCCCACGTCCCATTTTCATGTGGATATGATTATATTTGTTGGGACACAGTGACGTTTTCAATTAGGAATTATTCTTTAGATAGTTTGAAGTCACTCAAGGCACTACTTTCAGAAATAGGTTAATCTGACAAATTAATTTTGAGATATACTTTCTTGTGGATATATTCTGTAGATATAATAATATTTGATGGCCAACACAGTGACATTTTTAACTAAGAATTGTTGACTGGAATATTACTCATGTGTGTGGCTATTCATTTCTAGAAAATTAAATTATTATTTGGACGAACTCTTAGTTGAATGTTTTATACATTATTTGGACGAACTCTTAGTTGAATGTTTTATACATTGTGCTCTAGGATTTGTTGGTATTGCCGATTGTTTTAACGTGTTTTCTATATTGTGCATGGTTCATTAAGTCAACCGATTTATAGGCATATATTTACACATTTACATTATCGATTACTTATTTTTTGTGATCGATTGAAAACAACATGCAATCGAAACATTAATATGGCGGCTTTGCATGTATAGTGATTCTGTTTTTTCAAAACATTGGTACTTAAATATTTATTATTTGGTATTCTATATTAAATATGAGTGCTAAAACAACAGGGCCGCGGTGTATGCACATTGATAATTATTCTAGGTTTTATATGTAGTAAGTATTGGTGTTTATTCCTAATTCTAAACTTTTTAACGATGTAAGAGTGTGTTCTGAAATTATCGATGCCTTTTAATAGGAGAAACTCTGGAGAATCGCCGTATTATGAATAATGTCGTACAATGATCTCAATCACATACTAAACGTACTCTGTTTGTTTACAATTAGTTCCGCTTGAGAAATGACATCCAGCTAGTTGGCCGACATTTTAATTCCCAAATCGACGATTTTAAGTCGGAAACACTAAGTATATACTTCGAGAATATTAAGAAATATATATTCTGCTTCCATTTAATTAAAACTGAAAAGATTTATTCAGTCTGAGTGTGTGTATTAAAGATGTATAATAATTTTTTGATATATTTGTGGACATGTGTCATTGGTCAAAAATGCAGTTGTCTAAATGGGCAGGCATCATGACAGATTATTAATATCTTTCTCTTAATTTTTGACAAGGTGGAAATAACAGATGACTTGTAATGGAGGGGCGCGGGGCGGATGGGGGCTCAATCCCTTTGGTGTCCAAAAGATAGATTCGGGCATTCTTAATTCCGTAGACTTTAGATTTGCTTTATAACTAGTTTACTGATGTTTTACTTCTTTTCATATGAATGGGTTTCGCTTGTACAGTTTTGTGCTCCCAAATACCTATTGTGACACACTTTCCGTGCCAAATTAACATTTTGTTTCGAAGCAGCGGGTGAACTTTTTGTTTTGTCTTGTAAAAGCTCTTATTTATAAACTAAAAAAATTTCTATATTTTGATTTCAGTGTCACAAATGGGGAACTGAGAAAAAACAGATCATTAACACAGCAACGGCTACCTACACCAAAACAAAATGGTGGCCTCATGTCAAACCCTCGGCTTACCAACTACCGGTATGGTCGTTCTTCAATAAAGGCTGATAACTACAGTGAAGATGGGAAACATAAGTCACGACCTGTCCGACAAGGAGGTGATATACATATCCACTGAAGTCCTTCCCGAACAAAAGTCCATAGCTAACTCTTCGTCCAAACCAAAAGTAGACTCATCGAAAATCCCCACGAGCAATGTGTGCAGCACATCCACTGAATTTCTTACCAAACGTGGGCGGGGGGATGACCGAATGGTTAGCGTGTGCGCGCTTCATCATAAGGTCTGTCATTTAGTCAACTGGTGTGTTTTCGATTCCCCGGTTGTACGTGACAAGGAGTAGGGTCGCCTGTCCGACCTCGTGGGTTTTCTCCGGGTCCTCCGGTTTCCTCCCACTACTAAAGACCCCTACGCGCAAGCGAATTACTGAAATAAAATTGAACCATATGTTACTCTCTCTCTCTCTCCCCCCCTCTCTCTCTCTCTCTCTCTCTTTCTCTCTCTCTCTCGCTCTCTCTCTCTTCCCAAACGATAGTTCACAGCTAACCCGTTGTCCAACCGGAAGTATATCCACCGTGGAATAAAATGTACAGTTCTCTTGTCTATATAAAACATTTTATTCAGTGCAAGCAAATATGATCCATACAATTTGCTCCGTCATTTTATAAAATAGACTATTCTTTACCTTTTAGGTGATCAAAGATATCGTCAAGTTTATTCAGCTCCCAATAAAAAAGGACGAACAGCGCCTTTACCAAAACTTAACAACTTGGTGAACCAAGAATTAGAAACCAGTTCGCCTAAAGCACAACCTCAACACACAGGTAACATCACCTTTCTGGTGTTCGTTGGTTAACGTAATTTCTTTCTATATTAAAAGGAATGCCAAAGAAATGGTTTGGTTTTAAAAAAGGTGTTCAAAGGAGGTATTGAAAAAATTTTGGAAATAAATATAAAATTTTAATATTTGTCGGAATCAATTAACTATAACCATCAGTCAATTTCGTTGGTTGACCGCTGTCGGGGCAAAATTTACCTCATAGCACATTAGCTGTGTTGTTGTAGAACAGATAGACGTGTAACCCCATTATATTTTATTTAATATATGTTATAATGTTTTTGTTTATATAGTACAGGTTATTTTTTAATGTTTGTATGTTACAGGTTATGCGGGGATTACCACCAGAGAAAGAGATTTGGGGTAAGAAAGAATATTTCTTGTGTATTCAATATTTATTTCTTATAGCATGCGTGTTTATTGAAAGAATGGATATATATGAATCTATATAATCTTCTAGTCCATTGATATTTTAACATAAATGGCAATGGTAAAATAAGAAACAAATAGAGATACAGAAATAAACTTCAAAAAGCTGCATTATGTAAGATTTAGCTGAAGAGCTGCCATTCTTGTTATAATAGTTCAAAAGTAGATAATGAAAAATGAATATATTGAAAATGTCAGCCCAATTACATTATTCTGAGCGAAGTTATGAACGTTTGAAGTTTTGAGAAGATAGTCTCTATTGACAAGTAGCCTACCATTGCTACGAAAATAAACAATGCCTTGGTTATCCATTTAATATCCCAGCCATCGGATGGTCTAAAGAGTTGATCATGGGCTTGACATATAACATTTGAAGCAAAAAAAAGCCTTGCAATAGGCAAATTTAGCTCTTACGTAATGCATCTTTAACTTTGGTCTTGTGTAATTTATATTTTCAATATTATTCAGGCAAGGGAAATTTGCTACGGGGTGGGCTAATACTAGATCTAAAGAAAATTTTGTAAGGTTAGTAACATTTTTTTTATTCAAGTGGATGTATTCAAATATATTACACAACAATGAGTTCGAATTTCGTGAAAATCGAGCTGAAACTTCCCTTTGAAATGGCTCCTCCCCTTTACACAAGTAGTGACAAAGCTTATAATAACTATAACAAGGTTCTGGACCCAAGGTTATACATTCTGTCTTTTACGCAAAATGTGAAATATGTACAGGCTGGGATTTTTGTTCGATTGAAATGAGATTTAATGTGTTAAGTATAAAAATATCCCAAGTTTCCTAATTCGATGTGAAGCATTGCGACAATGAGAGTATGGGTCCTGCCGATTTGCATAGTTCTCCGTCCATCTTTTGCATAATGTGAACGTGTCTTGCATGACAACCGCTTGCGTCTATACGTATACATTTCCTTAATTAATTTCTGTGTTATGGTACTCTTTACAGGCATGAAGAACCTTTGCCAAAGCAGGAAAAGAATAACCGACAGGCTGAACAGACTTCGCCTGTTACGGAATCAAAAAAGCCTCCCCAACAGAAAAATCAATTTCAGTTTCATGCTGCCAAATCGAACGAGAAGGAGAATAAAGCCCCTGTTGTACAGGAAGAAAGGAAACTGCACGACAGTAAGCCTGCAACAGGGGGTGGAAATGAGAGCACGGGCCAGAACGATAAGGCCCAGAGAAAAACAGAAACAAAAACCCATCTAATTACTAGATTAAGTTTAGAGAAGGAAAAGAATCGACAAACAACACGAACGTCTAAGCAAAAGTGGGATAATGCGCCGAAGATGAATAAAGTAAAATGTGTAGAAACTAAAGCGAAACAGAGAGAAGAACTCACGTTTAAACCGAATATTAACCAATCGGATCATATGTTCACTGTGTACACCGGGTTAACAAAACAGGATATCAGAAATAATAAACTTAATTTGGAGCAATCGGTTGACTCTGAGAAGGTAGATACCTCGGGTGTGACCCCTTCCGTAACTGCCTCTCCACCGGTGTCGTCTGTTTCTCCAGGACATAAAAAGGAATATATATTAACAAGACGTGAAGCAAAGGCGTATATCAATATGCACACGGCCTATAATAACGCTGACACCAAAAAACAAAGAAAGGCCAAACTTATTGATAGACTTTCAGAAGCACAGTTAGCATATATAAAACAACATAATGAAATGTTAAAGCTTAAAGAAAAACAGAAACAAGAATCAAAAATTAGACAACAAAAACAATTATCATATCTCAGACGGAAGTTTGAAAAAGACCAATGGCGGCGTTTCAGGTCTCAGTACGTAACTAATAAAATCGTGGAGCACGAGCTCATGAACAGAAACGAGTATGGATTGCCTCAGGAACTCGATGAAGATGTTCAATACGGTGCCAAATTAAAACGAAAGAAACAGAAGCCAATTAAAAATGTTAACAAAGATGAACTTAGAAAACGTAATGCGAAAAAATATGAAAAAATGTTTATTGCTTATAATAATTCTTCAGCTTACAAATGTGAAAAGGTCCCAAAAATGGAAGGAATTGATACAATTGTGGTTTCAGAGAAAGATAAAAATGGTACGTTCATGTTGATAAAATCTCTTGAAAATGTACGTTTTAATATGCACCATAGCGTTACTAACCTTATAGTATATCAAATGAGCACAGACACTTGGAAGGCTCATAACTTCGAATAAGTTAGGTTAGATAAGGGGTGCTAGGTTGTTGACACAGTGATAGGTAAATGAAATGAAATGGGTTTAGCGTCCTAGGTACTGTTCTACTCCGACTGGTCTAATGAAGACGGGAATACATTGTACATTGATAAGTCAATTATCGTAAAACCTTTCGTTTCCTGTATTCACAGCCACATAGTTTGATATTGCTGATACATGAAATATTTGTGGCCTAAAATGTTGAACTGTCTACTATAAGTCTACCATTATTTTGCATATTATTAATTATTAGCATCCCCTGCCTCATCATTATATAAAGGCAGATTTAAATCTCATTTTAAAGATCAAAAATGTTTTTTCTACTTAAAGGCCAAATGGTAGAGAAAAAGAAAATGGTGTCTGATGTAATAAAAGAGGCGGAAAGAGAAATCAAATCATCCAATCAACAAAGTGAGTTCATTTGTGATGGGTCCACTGGGGTCATTACTTATTCATACTCTGGGCTTAAATATTCCAAACTAATCTCTGCGGTTTCTTTTGTCATTTTTCATTAGTAATACGTCCATAATAGATTGTATAATAGAGCTTTAGAATCCCGGTAGACTCTATCATTCAGACACAATTTACGAATATTAGTTTGGAAGAGTTGTCAACTCTTGTTTTTTTTTATGTAAAATATCTCTCTTTAAAGACCATATCTATGTTTATTTATTGATCCTAATTCATCGTCACGATTCATGGTTGTTTATAAAGTTCCATTGCGCATGCGTAACCGGGGATTTGTTTATTTGTGTGGTTGATTATCGAGTAAATTTTGCCACATGTTGACATCCGACCCAGAACCTCCTTACGTTGACCGAGACTAGAATCCCGTTGCTGTTTCTACCATTGACACCTATTGGTTTAATAATTCAAATTTGTTAAAATCGTTTGATTGGCCTCGTTTGAATCCGGTTAAATCTAAGTCGAGAGAATATCTAACATTGATGTTTTAGTTCTATTTTCCAATCTGATTAAAACACAGATCCTATTTCGTTTCGTTTTTATAGTTCAAAATTTCGTTTTACTTGTCTTTACTACACTTGGATCTGGAAGAGTTGTTATTTAACTCGTGTTCTGAATGGTGTCAGGGATAAGCCAATGAAGCGGTTTGTCACAGCGTGTTTTGCACGGAACTGTGGGTAATCCACTAGTAACATCAATGCTGGTTGGTTAATCAAATGTCTGACATCATAGGGTTATAAGTCGGTCTTATGACCCCTGACGTGACCTATCGCTAAAACTTGTCAGATCTTCATGTAGTGTAGGCCATCGAAAGTATAAAAAACGAAACGAAATATAGATATGTATTTTAATCAGATTGTTCTATTTTCTTAACTAATAATAAACCAATCTGAGTATATTTTTAGCATGGATTAAGGCCGTGAAACATTAAATATCATCAAAAACAGTGCTATTGGTATCTGCTACTAAAATGTTATTTTGGGTTATATTTAAAGTAAAAAAAAATGTTTGCATAAATTTTTAAATTTGATATATATATATTTACAGAAGATGACGAAAATACTACAAAGACACCTCAGCCAAATACCAAGAAACGGACACCCAGTCCGAAATCAAGCCATGACAGAGATGCTCTAAATATCAGTCTGGATAGTCTGGACTTGGATGAAGATGACGATGAGGATGATATATTTGAACGTGCTAGAAAGAAATACGGTCTGGATATAGACAGTTCTTTAGATACAAACAGTTTAGATCATAGATAATACTTATATTAGAATATTAGAATATAAAGAAATGTGGCTGAGATCCTCTGGGTAATTGGAGAACTGGGTGCATATTGTAATTATAGCTTATGTTTAATGGAGGCTCCAGTTCTAATAAGAATACCCGTCTTCATTAACCCAGTCGGAGAAGGACAGTAGTACGTTAAACCCCATTTCAGTTTATTTCATTCTACATTTCATTTCATTTTATTCCATTTTATTTCTAATAGCTGCATTTATATTCCCTGTAACTTTCTACAATTTTTATCGTATTGAAAGACCAACCTGAAATCTAGCGATAAATGTGTATAATTTAAACTGTAACTGTACAAATCCGTACGAACCCGCGAGGCCCCCAATAGAGCTGCTTTGTGTTCAATCACCCGAAAATTCAGGCGGAGAGGCAAGACATTTCGGATAGAACAACAGAAAATCAGAAATACGTATTAATCTAAATTATAAAGCCTTTTGGATTGACAATGTTTTGTTGGCACAGTTTTGTTAAAAGTACAACTCAGGGGTAACAAACACCATCACATTGACACAATTGAATGATAATTTATCACTGACAAATGACTGATAAGTGCAATTGATATGACAGAACAAGTGCGCAGATATTCAACGAAACAAGCAAATAAATTCTAGAAAATAAAATGTTGTTTCTATTGATTTAATGTTTATTGTCACCTCTTTGCCTGGGTCAAACGTTTCCACAAATTTCTGCTTGACTTACAGCTCTCTACCACAGATTGGGCAACAGGGAACAACGTCTTTGCTTCAAAGCTTGCTTCAAAGCACATATCGCGTACAAAATCGGTGATTTGATGATATATTTGGACTAAAAACATGTTTACACTAATTTATCTTACAAAAGTTTGCTTCAGATCCCTCTCAAAACATTTTAATCGCAATAAAACTACCCCATACCACAAAAATCTATTTTGAGTGGCCGTATCAGTCATATAATTTTATTGAGGTAGAATCCATTTCAGTTTGTATTTGTCTTTCGTCGCTGTCCATTTACATGTACTAAACCTAAGTAAATTATTGGATTATGCTCCGCCAACTTGTTTTCAGTTTAATCACGGGCTCTACTTAACCTTTAAGTCTCTCAATGTTCTTACAACACACTCGCGCGAAGTGGTCCTTACGTCACTCGAGCAGGTAGAGACACCTTTCCATGCTTGTCCTTTGGGCGCCCCATTGGTGTTTTGAAGGGGTATTTTTCTAGTAAGACTGAGTTTCTCTACTTTCCATATATACCAAATATGCCATATTTTTTATTGGAAATAACTACACTATCAATACTTTGGTGGGACTGTATCTTTAAATAATAGTAACAACATTAGTGGTCTGCATCCTACTCTACACATACCCAGCTATTTACATTTAAAATACAGATGTAACGCCATCCTTTGATGTTGATGTACCTTACTTCCAATAATGTACGGGCAACTTGCCAATCGTATATTATCTATACTAGATGAAATATTGGACTCGCGTGACGTATTTCATTGAAAATGACGTGCGGAATAGTGTCTGTATTTTAAGTTGTTTAATGGTCTCGAGCTAAAGACATTGCGTAATACACTGAAACAACACTCAGCTAACGCCTCGTGCAGTATCATTATATTACTTTATGTCTCGCTCTCAATCATTAAACCAAACTTTTCCTGATTGTGGACTAATCAGATTGTGCATAAGATAGTATTTTTATAACCGTCTTCCAAATAAATTTTCCTGAATTCTATAGTGAATTTTTCTACTAATGTGTACATTCTCATAGTATTTATTTATGAAAACTGAAGACCTACAAACCATGACATGGAAATATTACGTACATTGTAGTTGGGTACCGTTTATCGTTGGGGTTTCAAACTACTTCATCAGGCCAGTAACTAGGGGGGGGGGGGTACAGGGTTTCGCTCCCCAACCCCCCTTGTAAAAAAATTGTCGACCATAAAAACAATATACATATATTGTCCGTCAATTTTACAGCACCCCTGAGAACACTTCCACCACCCACACCCACCCCACCCCCGTTGCTCTGAGCTTGTTACGGCCCTGTACTTCATGTCAAAGTAGAACACATATCCCTTTACTTATTTACCCTTTGCCATGGGTGATACCACAATTATAACTGTATCGCACTTGAAGATAATATTTATCACCAGGGTTTTATTGTATACTTCAGAAAGATAAAATGCAGATTTTGCTCGAAAACATATGAAGTAGTATTACAATCAAATGTGCATATCAGCAAAATCTAGGTTTTATTATCGTTCAGATGATATAGATCATCTTCAAGCGTAACAAACACATAAATATGTTTCAACCTTGAGAAACATGACATAGGGATTGTCAAGGAGAAGAGATAACCGTAGTTACCTCCCTTATATAGAGGATTTTCTGAATTGTAGGCCAGTATCGTCAATTGATAACCAGAAGAAATGAAATGAAATGAAATGGGGTTTAACGTCCGATAACCAGTAGAAAGCCACGAAGGTATTGAAAGGTCACTGGTGTGGTTTCGATTCCCCGGTTGTACGTGACAAGGGGTAGGGTCGCCTTCCAACCTCGTGGGTTTTCTCCATTTTCCTCCCAAAGACCCATACGCGCATTCGAAATATTGAAATAAAATTGAACCATATGTTAGTCCCGAAATGACCTAGTTTGTGTCGAGTGGACGTTAAACAACATTTTTGTCTCTATTGAAGGGTCCCCACATTATTATTCATTGTGGACACACGTCTGGAATCGAAACCAGGACACTCGATTCACTGACAGGTCTTAAGATATAAAGTGCATGCGTTGGACCACTTGACCAACCAAAAGACCATCTGATAAAGTGATACCAGCTTGTTAATGAAATTGGGGTTCCTCTCCTCATAAAAAGCATCACAGAATAATAAGAAATGGACGAATATCTTAAATGTTGTTTTGAAATTTGTAGCTCAGGAAAATATCAATCAGCATTTCCGGCGTGGTTTCCCCTTGACAAGGGAGCAGAACGGAAGGTCTGACAAAGACAGCTGTCTACTCGTTCGAACGGGACGAAAACCTCAGGTCCCGTGTACACATTGGCGTGCACGTAAAAGATCCAATGGCAGATGGAATTCGATTTAAGAGCCGATCGTAGCGCCGCTGTCCGGGCCAAGTTTCCCTCATAGCCCAGTCGGAACAGAACAGTAGGACCACGCTAAACCCATTTCATTTAATTTCCTTTCAGTTGATGTTGTGTTTAGTTATTGTTTAATTCCAGACAAATTGTTAATTGTTTTATGATTTCTTAACCCACCCTTTGAAACTTGCGACTGGAAACAGACATCTAGGATTCAATATTGGAAATATCTGCCAAGTAAGAATAACATTTTCACAATCAATTTAGGATTCAGTTTCTTTAGATTTGCCTAGCAGGGTGATTGAAAAAGACAATATGTTGCAAATGGTACTCCACAAAACAACCCTTTTCCTCACAAAACTTATATTAAGAGAACAAATTCAATGCCACGCTACCAAAATACTTACTTAAATTGATAATAATATTTACAAATCATAAAAACATTATAAATGGTAACATTTACCATGACTATGGAAGCCATTATGGATTTCTATATAAAACATTTATTCTCTCATCGATTGCATATTGACTACTGCGGTTGTTGGTATAAAAAGTGGCACATTTCGTCTAGAAATAGCGCAACTGTTTGTTTCATCTCTCTTTTGTTTCCCTTGACTAACATTTGAATGAACAAAACCAGGTTTCTATATTAATTACCAAACTTACGATTCAACGTATAACAAACAGAAACGGTTCTATTTCTGCAACTCTCAGCTAATTAAACTAAAGTTTTAGTTTATCGATTAAAATCGTTAGAACTTTCTACAGAATCTCGGCAGTGTTTGGTCAGCACTTCATAAAGCATATTTCCTGTTGTATATAATCAATCAGTAGGAGAACGCTAGATCGAACCGTGCAGGGCCGTGTCCGATCTATCGTTCTCCCAATCAGTAAGCCCAAACCAATTTTATTTCTAGTTCTTCGGGGTTTAAATCAATAAACAACCCACTCAATTCTTGTGTGCGAGGTTTTGTATAAATGCATTCTGTAAGAGCTAAATTTGACTAATGCAGATCTTTCGCTAGGCCTTAAATGTTATAAAATCAGTAATTAGAGATTTAATCAGCCAATACTCAACTCTCCATGTCATCGGATGCTTTTGATTTTAAACCGATTTTAAACACGATTGTCATGTAATAATTTAATTCAAAAAGGGGATAATCGAGTCTTTATTTATCGTAACAACGGTAGCAGTGCCAATCGAGACTACACCGTTCTGTAAACGACCATAACTTCGCTCAGGGGGAAATAGTTTGACTGAAATTTGTAACATATTCCCTTTTGATTATCTTTTTTCTTTTAACTATTATAGCTCTTTATCAAAACCTTAGATAATGCATTTAAGTAATTCCTTGAAGAATTGGGGGCCGGGGGCGAAATTCTTAAGAGGTTTTCCCGAAGAACAGAAAATCAAATGGGCGTGGCCTTATTGAATGATAGTTATATTAATGTCTATACAATTCCTGGTGACAAAAGTATTGAAGGCCAAAAGTGACACATTCTCTATAATCTACGTAACTGCTTATGTCTGTCTTAAATTTCAATATTCGTGTAAGTTTTTGTGTGTATAGTGCCGTGTGTACATTAATAAATCATAGGATACGCCTTTATTTACACATTAACTAATCCTTCATACATATATACATAATTTATTTCATAACCACCCTTAAGAGGAAAAAAAACTGAATTTAACCAGTTCGTTTCTTACATGAGGGCGTTGTCTTGATTCAAATTTTATCTTACAACATAAAAAATATTATCCTAGAAATGTACAGCTTTTGTAACGTCACAGTTAATATTATACTAGCGGATGATTCGGTGCTGCACAAGTTGAAAGTGGTATAACTCCGACAAACAAACAAACGACAGTCACAAATATTAATATAGATCAAACTTTAAGCAGATGAATAATTAAAAAGTATCAGTTAGCGCTATAGAATCAATTGCAAACTACAATATTATGAGCAATGAATCTATGATAGGAATATCAGTTCAAAAATGTTCCAATTCCGTCCAGTATATACAAAGATATGTGGAAATTTCATCGATTCCTAAGCCCACCGACATTTTGTTCATAGACCTTATTTAAATCCGACCCAATTCATATTGGGCCATTGTCTAGTGTTTGTATTTTGTTTTCTTAAACATGCATTATGCAAGAGCAAAATCTGCTTATTACAAGTCTTTCTTTAGGCCTGAAATGTTATCTAAATTATCAATAAGACATTAACTAACTTATCCAGACCATAATAAACTCTCGATGTCAAGGCTAGCCTTCGATGTTGGCTGGATTAGATTCCTATATGCCGCTAACGGCCGTTGATAATTAAATCAATAAAGGTGGATAATCGAGACTTGCTGTTTATATTAATGATTTTAGTAATGATGACCGAGACTATGCCAAAATTTCACGAGCTTCTTTCTCGGCTCATGGTGGATCAATTTGACTGAAATTTTCAGCAAATTACCTATACACTATCTAGTTTTTAACCATTATAGCGAGAACTGCCATCTTGTTATCTTATCTCCCATAATGTATCTTTAATCAAAGGTTAGATAACCAATTAATCTGAAAACCAAGTAACG